ATTAATTTAAATTAATGTATCATACTCAGTTTTTCATACTGATAAAGAAAATAATATTCTTAGAATCATTAGAGCAAGAAAAAGAGAAATTTAAATACCATTTCTCAAAAGTAGTCGATTTTTACATGGACGGATTTCATCAAAGTATTTTGATTTTTTTTTGATATAAAGCAAGAAAAAAAATTTTAAAATACATTTTCTTATACAGTTTGACGAGCTCTATTCAACCATATATAAAACATAGGGAAAAAAAAAGTGATGCTCAAATTTTGAATTTCCCGCACCTTATGTAAAGCCATTTGGCTAAAAAATATAGTATCGTTGCACGAATAAACTATTAGTTTGAACTCTTCTCAAAGTATATCACAGCTCATTAGAACCTACATGCTGTACGTAGTCTAGACTGCAAAGTGACTTGAGAATTAAAAAGCATTTTATCGTTAATCTTGTACTCTATAGTAAATATATAATTTCATAGCAGAATAAATTCTGAATATTTGTTTTTCATTTCAAAATCATTATCTGCACAAAATTTTCTTGTCCTATTATAGTTTAACATAAATACAAAAATAACAAACAAAATAATTGTTTTTCTCTTTCCTATTTATTAACAATTCAAATAAACATTTAACGAGGTTGTCGTCTAGATGAATCATTTGATCCATTCGAAGTTGAAATAGATTGATTATTTATATCAAAAGCCGAACGACATGTTGAACATGTTAATGCATTATCACAATAGATAGATAAACATACGGAACAAACATAACCTGTATCAATTAATTTATGATGACAAAAACATGCTGGACGATAATCAACAGCTACTTTTGTTGGTAATGCAAGCATTTTACGAACTTCTTTATCAGTTAAATAAAGCCAAAGTAAATATTGTAATAAACCATTTGGATCTGGTACACGTAAATATATACCTGATGTTAAATCGCCTAAGAAAAAAAAAACAATTTATCAATATAATTTAGATTTTTGATATCGGGACAAGATCTTCATAGGAAATTTAATTATGAAATTTTTGCTAATAGATAGATCTTATATATGACAAGGAAATTCATGGAATCGAGATATGTCCTAACATAAATCTGATCAAATAACGTATAAGTTCGAATCTATTTAAGGTTTTTCTTAGCTTCACTGACTCCGCTTCATAGCTAAAAAATAGAGTCGAACAATATCAGACAGTTGTATATAAAGGGTGGCCCAGAAGTCCTGACTCGATTTGTGTAATAAATTTTTCTATAGTGAAACACATGGTTGTAAAT